AGGCTGGTCTTGAACTCACTATACAGCCCATGCTGGTCTCAAACCTATGGTGATCCTCCTGCCTCAGCCTCCCAAATGCTAGAATTACAGAACCACTCCCAGCTATTTTGTGTTGGAGGCTGGTAGTCAAACCCAGAGCCTTCACACTAAGCTACATACCCAGATTTGTTTTGTTTTGGATTTTGTTTTTTTTTACGTAGGGTCTTGCCCACTCACTAAGTTGCCCAGGCTGAGCTCAAACTTGTGATCTTTCTGCCTCAGTCTCCCAGAGCATTAGGATTACAGGCATGCACAACCATACCTAGTTAAGCCACACATTTCTTCTCTGCCTCCCTCTCTGTGGCTTCTGTAATTTAAGAAATTAGTAGCTAATGTGAGGATGTTTTCACCAAGGGACCCAAAAATGGCTTTATTATTGGGATGTGAGGCTTTCTGGGTTCCTCATGTGGCCACACAGTAGACCAAAAGAGAAATTACAAGGAGCATATACATAAAGTAGGGAAATCTTCAGCTCACTTTGTACTAAGACTAGCAGCGAAGTTACCAGTAGATCATTGCTACCCTACAAAGGCCAATCTGCAAAGGCTCAGACCTTTCAGAAATAAGTTTGTGAGCCGGGGATTTAGCTCAGTGGTGCCCGCCACCTGCCTCCAAGTGCAAGGTCCCGAGTTCAATCCCTGATGCCAAAAAATAAAAAAGAATAAGTTTGCAAACTACATCTATGCAACTCCAATGTCTTTGCTCTTTAGCACTCCACTTTCTAGTGATATCAATATACTTGGAGCTACTTCACCAAGGAAAGCCCTCTCTCATTCCCATGCCTCTCCACTTGTTACTCTGAATGAAATGCCCATTTTAACTTTCCCATAGGGAACTCCTATTATCTTCTTTGAAACTTTCTCTAATCCCTAGGTTAGACTAGATGCCCTTCTTCATAGATCCAAACATCATGATATAATGTCCTAACAAGAAAATACTCCATATACTTAATTAGTTTTTCCTACTAGACTATAAACTTCTAAGTCAGGGAAACCACATCTTTTATATTTGTATTCTCAATACTGTAATTACTAAGGGTATAATAAATGCCTTTGGAAAAAATATAGTCTTTCCTAATTTTTCAGTATTAATCACTACATTATAGATTTTGGATGCCTGTTTAGCATCAAATGAGTCCCTCAATTACTTAGTGTGTGTGTTCTCAATCTTCCCAATAAGTCTAAAAAGTTCTTATGAGCCAAGTTCTCAACTTACTACTGCCGTATTCTCTTTAGCACCTAAGGGTGTTGGGTACATGGTAAGTATTCAATGAATACTTGATGAACTAAATTTAAAACACAGTACTACCACATTAATAGGAGTAACTTATCATGCCCTACTGATCTAATTAAAAGATCTGGCCTTCTAAAGTAGTGTAATTGTACCCATATGGAAAATTTAATGAGAAAAAGAAAAATGATCCAATTGGACAGCTAACAGCTTTTAGCAAGAGTTCTATAAATATTTTATGGCTAACAGGCTCACAGCAAGACTCAGGTGGGTGGGGTGAGTTGTAATCCGAGCTACTCATGAGGCTGAGGCAGGAGGATCACAAGCTCCATCCTAGCCCAGGCAATTTAGCATATTAGCAAAAACCTGTCTCACAATAAAAAATAAAAAGGGGTGCAGATATAGCTTAATACAAAGGCTCTGGGTTTAATCCCCAGTACCATGAAAAATAAAATGAAATAAAATAGCTGGGATGTAGTTCAGTGTAACACCCTGGGTTCAGTCTTCAGTGCCACACACACAAAATTATTTTTGTATAATATATAACATGGCAGTCACTTAACATACATTTACTGTGTTAATGACAAATGCAATGTTAGGTCCTGGAAACGCAAAAATAAAGAGAACACAGTTCCTATGCTGGTGGGGTTCTAACTCTGCCATGTTGCAATGGTATTTAAGAATATGTGAATCACACCCTCTGCATAAAGGCCCTGAGATTCTCAGTCTGGTTGGGAAGGTGGAAAAGCATATATTGATGGAAGTGTGCAAAGTGCTAATACAGAAATAAATACAAGTTGTTAAGCACCCACAGAAAAGAAAACGATCAATCTACTGAAGAAATCAAAAACAGATATGGAAAAAAATGACGTTCTTACATGAATTCAATCCTAGTTAAGATACAAGGAAGCTACTAACACAGAAACAGCAAGAATGGAATCAAACCACAAACCACGGTTGCAAGTAGAGTCAGGAGGGTTCCAAACCAAACCAATCCAAACTTAAAGCAAACCCTGGTTGAAGAGTTAAAGAATAAAACAGACCTTGCCATTAAGTTTGTTTATTTATTTATTTTTGGTACCTGGAATCGAACTCAGGGCTTCACGTGTCATTAAGTTTAAGCATAAGGAAACACACATACAGAAGAAGCTAAAACTACACAATCCCTTAGTGTAAAGGGAGTCTTAATACGTAGGTAAAGTACTAGAGTAAGTTGTCTGGAAAAGCTTTGTAAAGCTTTTGTAAAGTATAATTAAAACTACTGTTGGGCTGAACTTGGTGGCACATGCCTGTAATCCTAGCACTCAGGAGGCTGCAGCAGGAAGATTGATGCAAATTTGAAGCCAGCATGAGCTACACAGTGAGTTCAAGTCCAGCCTGAACTACATAGCAAGACCTTGTTTGAAAACAAACAAAAACTCCTTAGTAAGGAGAGAGAGGGTCTATTCCCTGAGAAATGCTTGTTATGTGTTGCTGTTAACAAAAGCAGAGCTGAGATCTAAACTGTGTGTCTGTGGGACAGGAGTGAGTACAAAGATTCCCAGTGGGAAGCAGTGAAGGGAAAAGTGAGATAATAAAGGCCTGTTTGCTTAAACACAAGCCTAGCAGTTTGGACACTGTTCTAGACTCAGAGTTTTCAGTCCTGGCTGCTGAGTAGAATCAGCTGGAGAACTTTAAAGGCTATGACCACAGAAGGCTGAGGCAGGAGGATCCAAGTGCAAGTGTGCCTAGGCAACTTAATGAGATTGTCTTAAAAGAAGTGGGGCGAAGTGGGGATGTAGCAATCCCCAGTACTGTTAAAAATAAAAAATAAAGATATGTCAGTGGTCAACCTTCAACCCAGATCAAAAGTAATCTCTGAGGGAAATAGCTTTGGCATTAACATTTAAAGGCATAGAAAGCAATTCTAACAAGTAGTCCAGTTTGAGAACTACTGGGCTGGACAAGCACAGGTGAGATACAGTTAAGATCCAAGCTTCATTTAAGACCCTGTTTATAAGCAACAATTTTGAGGTGATTACCTATTGAAGCTTATCTTCTAACCTGATTTAAACAGTCTCAGTTTTGTTTCCTTTTCCTTGTTGACAGGCTACACTCTGAAAATAGAAAAATAACTCATTAATTTCTCTTCATAATTGACTCACTGACTATACAGTCTGCAACTTTAGAATTTCAAGGGCTGGGGATTTAGCTCAGTGGTTCCACCGCCTGCCTTGCAAGCACAGGGTCCAGAGTTCGATTCAGAGCATCAAAAAAAAAAGAAAAGAAAAATTTTACCTCTGTGATGTTCCACAGACAGCTAACCTAGAAAATAACTATTTCAATCCTAAATTGTCTTTGCATCCCTTCAATGCAGTGCTTTCGAACTGAGGAATGTTCTAGGCTGCATTCAAAACTTCTCTTAAATACCTGAACTACCTAATACCAATGTAAATAAAAAAGTCATATTGCTAACTCTAGAGCAAAATGTGAGATTATGCATTCTTGTACTACCTGGAAACTTTCTACTCTTGGTTTTTTAATGTAATTTAGCGCAACCTTCTTTATTTTGTAACATACACTTTCAAATAAGGGGGAACACGTATATCCCATACAGCAACTCTGAACTACATTAAACGTAAGTCCTGTGCAAAAGGAAAAAGTCATCAAAGTGATTCAGAGTATAATAGCCTGTTGATCCTTCAAAAAGCAGGTCTGTTCGCCTAAAGCCAATGTGGAAATATACTTCAGGATCCATTATTCACCAGAAGATTAACTCAAGAAATGTGTACACTCGGGCCGGGGATTTAGCTCAGTGCTTCCGGCGCCTGCCTCGCAAGAGCAAGGTCCCAAGTTCGATCCCCGGTACCAAAAAAAAAAAAAGAAATGCGTACACTGTTCATAAGTAAGCAACCGTCTTCTTGGACTGTAAAGTTTGCCACAACTGTCTTGCTTGGTGTGGTCTTAATTCACTGTATTTTACTTAATAGTTGAATGTTATCCAAAGATTATGACTTGGCACTTAGGTTTATGCAGGATCTTATTTCCAAATACAGTTAATAAACTCAAAGCCCATATCCCGACGTTAACAAGTGGGGTGGAAAAGAGAGCAAGGGAGAACTCAATAATCAAACTGTTAAACCTGAACAAAAGCCCAGAAACCTCATGTTTCTTCGGGAAAGATGGAAGTAAATTTTAAGAGTTGCCCACTCGCTTGCACCTCTCCTATTCACAAAGCAAAAGACGGGCTTCTCAAAAGAAAACACAGCCCAACTCTCCGACACCGAAGACAGAGCTAAAAACGCCAGCCACAGGAGTTCGACAAGGGGATCTGAAGGAAAGTCAGAGAGCAAGGGAAGAAGAGCAGATGAAGGAGGCAGAAGGTGAAGGAGGCAGGCAAAGCCTCGCGTGTGAACCCAGCTGCCCCGCTCTTTATGCACCCAGGACCGCGTGGGGCCTCTGTCGCCCCTCGCGCAATCTGGGGCCGGGATGCTGGGTGAGCCCCCCACGGCCGACAGCAGGAGGCGCGGGAGGCGGAGGGAAGAGACCTCTGCGCCCCGCCAGCACTCGCAGGGGGCCTGACTCTGCACTCAGGGGTCCCCAGGAAGGAGGCACCTCGGCTCAGCCCCCGCCTCCGGGAGCAGGGGGGGGTGGGTGGAGCTGAGCCCGGGGCCGCCCTCCGGAGCCGCCCCCGCAGCCTCGGCCCCCGCCCCCCGCCTGGCTGTCAGCCGCCCCCTCCCGCAGTCACTCACCCGCCGGCTGCGCGGTCTCGGCCGCGCTGGTGGCGGCGGCGACGGCGATCCCCGCCTGGGTCATGATCCCAGGCGGGGAAGGCAGGGATGTCTGACTGCCCCGGCGAATCCCTCGGTCCGCGGCCGCCGCCTGCTCCTCCGGGGCTGGGGGAGCGTGGGCCCAAGCCCTCCTCTCCCCCCGCCCCCGCTGCCTCTTCCTGCGGCCGCCGCCGCCGCCGTTGCGAGCCCGAGCCCTCAAGGCCGGAGACCCGGCGGCAGCGCGGCCTCAACTTTCCCAGCCCCCCTCCCCCCGCCCCGCCCCTCCCGCGGCCGCCGCTTAGCACGCGGACAGCCTACCCTGAGTGCGTCGCGCTCCGGCCCCTGCCACTCAGCCTGCCAATCCGACGCCAGGGAGCCTGCCATTATAGCCAATCAGAAGCCTGGACGCCATTGCGCCAGGCTAGAGGGCGGGAGAAGAGGGAGGGAAAGCTGAGGAGTGAAAGGGCCTCTGGCGGCCCAATGAGGAAGACCAGGGGGCGGAGGTGTACATGGTTGGGTTGAAGGAACAGGAAATATTCTTAAAGGTAGAGTGACGGGCAGGAAGGAAAGCCAGTAGGTGAGTGGGAAAGAGGTGGGCCTGGTTCCTTAAAGGGGAAGGCTTGAGAGCCTAGAAAAGATGTTTTAAGAAACTTCTTGGTATCCTGCTGTCTTTTCCGCTTTCCACGTCTTGCAATGGGAGTTTGGAAGTGGAAAAAGTGAAGAGGAAGAGGGCACAGAAGGCTTTAGGAATGATTAGGAAGCTTCTCTTAGCCTAAAGGGCAGAAATGCGGGAGGATGCCTGGTAAGAAGAGGCAAGGAAGAAAGGAGAGCATCCACACGTCTCTGACTTCTCTTTCAGTGGAAGATTGTTCGTCAACTTGAGGCTGGTCGAATTCGTAGGCTGCAGTCTCCTGATGTTCTTTTTTGCTCAGATTCCTACGAACTGGAGAGGAAATGCCCTGGGGGCCTCCCAGCCGAGGGAAGGGACTATGGGTCTTTGGGGGGTGGAGTTTGGAACACCAAGCTTTCCAGACCAGCGTCTGGGAGGTGTAGGGCCCTGGGTCATGGAATGGAGACCTGAAGGGCCCCAACTTAGAGGTGGGTTTGGAGTCCTAGAATCGTGCTCATAATATTATAGGCAGCTAAGTTAGATAGAAATAAATATACAGTCAGAGAGGGACTGGACTCTCAAGTCAGCAGAAACAAAGACGTCAGAATTGCGGTTGGAGGCGCAAGTCCAGGCCCAAGGTAAAGATGCAGTGGCTAGACCTGCATCCCTCCCTGAGGACTAAACAATAACTTAAGGTTATATTGTAATCAGCATCACCTAGTCCATTAAATCCAGCTATGCATCAGATACCCAGGTGGGTTATCAGAACATCTGGACCCATCCTGTCCCAAAAATGTCTCCATTTTAGAAGTCATAGGTAAGCCAAGGTTAATGATGCTAGCCATATACCCTTGCCGTATACCTTGTGACTCGTTATCCTATTGGCTCAATATTAGCTAAGCAGCTATACTTGCAGTTCTATAGGTTGATGATAGTTTGACCCACGTTGTAACCACATTGTGACTGCTGTATAAATTACCCTTGACAAAGGGCCTCGGTGGTAACACACTTTCGGGACCCTTCCTGTCTCTCAGGAGCTATCTCAATAAACCTTTCCTACTCTCAACCTCCTTTGTTCCTTGGATTTCAGAGGCCACGAACTTGGCACATCTGACATCTAGCAGGTTGGGAGTAATCTCTCCCTTATCAATAATTCCCTTTTTCCTAGGGTCACTTAATATTTAATAATCCCTCCCATCTTAAAACAAGTGTCTTCCACTAATCAGTGTTGAAAGATTTCCAAGTCCTTCCACAGTCACATTTGGTAATGTCCCAGAAAATGTCTGCGGACCAGACCAAGTAACGTCCAGAAGTTGCACACAGTGTGTAGCATAATGGGAATTACTTAAGCCAGTATACAAAAGAAGCAGACCTTGCATTAAGAAAGAGGATTCAGTGGTGGCAAACCTATGGCACAGGTGCCGCAGCTGGCTGTTTTTTTATCATTGAAAGCTCTAAAAGGTTCGCTATCATTGATAGGTAAACAGTAATCCCATTTTATGCTGTGCAGCAGTTTGAAAATCAGTGATGAAACAGGCCTTTAATGTTGCTTTAAAACGATGGCACTGATAAATAGTCTGGCAATGTTAGCTTCCATCTAGGCATATGAAGCTCTAATTAGCCTTTGAATGGACTTGGCACTTCCAAATTCAAGGTGCAGAGAAGAAAGACCCTATGATTCAGAGCCATACTAGTAATGCTAATAAAACCATGAATTATATAATATTAATATATCCAGTTGTAAGAAATAATCTCCATGGTGGTAAGAATATAAGGTTTGTGGTTGGCAAATATCACATCTAGAGTGTGCAAGATTTCCAAAACTACAATGCATCAATTCTAAAGTAAAAATAGTGTTGATTTAGAAAACAGAATTTAAGAGTTTTTTAAAATTTAAATTACCATTAAAAATACACATTAAGGGCCGGGGATTTAGCTCAGTGGTTCTGCCACCTGCCATGCAAGCGCAAGGACCCAAGTTCGATCTCCGGTACAAAAAAAAAAAAAAAAAAACATATTAATACCACTCTGAAATGGAAAATAAGAGCAACTTCTCTTCTGTTTTTGTTTTGTTTTGTTTTTTGAGACAGGGTCTCACTGTGTAGTTCAGGCTGGCCTGGAACTCACTGTGTGGTCTCAAACTGGCTGGCCTCAAACTCAGGGGAATCCCCCTGCCTAAGCCTCCTGAGTTCTGGAATTACAGGCGTGCATTACCACACCTGGCTAACCTGGCTACCCTGGTTAAGAGGAACTTCTGTTTGATAAAATATAGAATATTAATGTGTGTGTGTGTTTGTGTGTGTATGTGTGTATTACTGGGACTGAACCCACTGCCTTCCCACTGAGATATCCCTGTTTGATTTTTTTAATTTTGATTTTTTTTTTTTTAAGGCAGGGTTTCCCTAAGTCATTAAATTGCCCAGGCTGGGCATGAACTTTTGATCCTCCTGCCTCAGTTTCACTGAATGCCAGGATTACAGGTGTGTGGCTGGCACTAGGTTTTTAATTTCATCCTTATTTCCTAACCAAAGTCCAAATCCCAACCTGAGATCATTGCATTAGCTTCACCCATTCAACATTGGCTTACTGCACTAGACATGAGTGACGACAGATAACCATATGGTTCTATTCTCAGGCCAGGTGGCATGTGCTTCCAGTACTTCTGGTGATAAAACATACTGGCCAAGTGACACTGGTCTCTGTGTATTCAGGTCAAGTCCCTTTTTTACATAGAGGGAATCTGCTTTTCACCTACATACTTGATATCCTTCAATGGCACCCAAAGATTATTTGTATGCTTTACAAGCTCTTTCTTTGCCTTCCGTTTCAATTCCTGACATCACTTTTTCCCTATGAGGGTGAGGAACTGCCGGAGCCCACCCCGTCCCCGCTGACAGATGGGACGCGGCCAAGGCAGGAAGGCAGAGTGGGGGGGAAAGGGCGGGGCGGGGTGGGGCGGGGCCAACTCTGGGCTCAGACCCACCCACCCACGCCGCCCTTGCTCTGCAGGCAAGCGCTGAGCCGAGGTGCCTCCTCCGGGTGCCGGGCCTGGCGCTCTGCGCGTGGCCATGCGCAGACGTCTCTTCCCTCCACCTCCGGGCGGTCCTCGGTGCCTGAAGAGCTGGGCAGCGGGGTTCATACCAGAGGCTTTACCTGCCTCCTTCACCTTTTTGTCTCCTTCATCTGTTCTTCTTTCCTTTCTCTCTGACTTTCCTTCGGACCCCCTTGTCAAACTGTGGCTTAGGTTTTTAACTCTCACTTTTGGTGTCAGAGTTGGGCTGTATTCTTAGAATTCAATCTTTGGTTTCTGAATTGGGGAGGTGGGGACAAGCAAATGGGCAGCTCTTAAAATCTATTTCCATATTTCTCAAAGAAACTGCCTGTTTTCCAAAGTGGTTGTAACATTGATTCCTATTCCCAACAGCAACATATGAAGGTTCCTATTTTGAGACAGGTTTTCCCTAATGTGCCCAGCCTTGCCTTGAACTTGGGATCCTCCGACCCTACCTGCCCAGTAGTGGGGATTACAGCATGGTCCTCGGCGCGTGTCTTGCCTTTACATTTTCTTAACAATGTTTTGTTTTGTTTTGTTTTGTTTTTTGGTACTGGGGATCGAATTTGGGACCTTGCACTTGTGAGTCAGGCAGAGGAACCACTGAGCTAAATCTCTGGCCCTTAACAATGTTTTTGAAACAAAAACAAAGTAGCATTATTGAAGTATGATTGACTCATAATAAACTAAACATTTAAAATATACAACATAAATTTTGGCACGTATCCAACTGTGAACCCATCTGTAAAAAAAAAAAAAAATTACACCACCTTCCTCGCAAGTGCAAGGTCCTGAGTTCATCCTCAGTACCAAAAAAAAAAAAAGAACATATCCATCCCAAATTTCTGTCAACTTTTTTTTTTGGTACCGGGGATCGAACTTGGGTCCTTGTGCTTTCGAGGCAGGCAGTGGAACCACTGAACTAAATCCCCAGCTCTGTCAACTTTTTTTTCATGCCCATGATCAGTTCCTTCTTCCTGCCCTTCCAGGTTTCCCTATAGCCATTACTCTGCTTTCTATCTCCACATATTACTTTGCATTTTCTAGAACTTTATACAAATATTCATTATATACCTTTTCTTAAATTCATCCACTTTGTTATGTGTCAATAATTAGCTTTAGTTGCTGAGTCGTGTTCGTGTGTGTTGTTGGACAGTGGAATTTTTTCCAGTTTTTAACTATTACAAATAAAGATGCTGTCAACTTTCCCATAGCTGAGACACAATACCTGACACCTATAGTTTCAAGGAGGAGGGCCTGGGATGTAGCTTAGTGGTACAGTGCCTGCCTCCCTGGCAACCGCAAGGCCCCGAGTTCAATTTCCGGTACCAAAAAAAAAAAAAAAAACAAGATAAGCATCATTCTGTGATTATATAAAGGATGAACACAGGCAAAATCATATAGGCAGGAGGATTGCCATGAGTTGAGGCCAGCCTGGGATACACAGTTTAAGGCCAGCCTGAACTACATAGCGAGACCCTGTCCCAAAAAACCAAAAAATAAAAAAATGTTTAAAATAAAGGAGGACAGGGGCCAGGGATTTAGCTCAGTGGTTCTATCTCCTGCCTCGCAAGTGTAAGGTCCTGAGTTCAATCC